TTTACCTTTTGTTTGCTTTTAGATCCCTAAACCCCTTTTACATATACGCAAAGTTCTAAGGTTAGTATAACAAATATTTTTTATCCCATATAACAGTATCTCTCTCTCCTAATTAAGGCAGACTCACACACACATCATATATATAAAATTCAAATCTAAAATCTTTTAATTAATAATTTAAGCTCCTAATTAATGGATCAAGATCAGCTGTACATCGTTTAATGTTCAGCCACAAAATTTTCAAATCCGAACTGAAATAATTTTCCATCACACTCAAAGTTTAGATTTCACAAAAGTAAAAATAAATGAAGTGTCAATCTTTCTACCAGCGTCACCATTGATTCGCACATTTTATTAGCTTTTTCTGACAAGTTACAATGATAAGCACCACATAAAAAACTATAAAAAATCATGATTCATCGTTACGGATCCGAGACGTTGATTCTACGACAGCAATGGTTTTGTCTTCTCGCAGCTTCTGCGTTTGGCAAATAATAGAGCCTCTAATGGCGATCGCCGGCGACAGGAGAAGTAGCAAAGGTGAAAAAAAAAAAACACTCCATTTATTCTAAGCCACCACTCAAACAATTTAGAAGTTTAAAATGGAAGCCCGTAATTACGAATTAGTATAAAACAAGCTTTTAGAGTACCCAGCGACCTCATTTAACGCCGCCCGGTGCAGCGGCGGCGGAGACGGTGGCGGTGGTGGCGGTCGCCTTCTCCAGCTTGGTGAAATCCATGCCGTCCCCGCACTCGTAGTCATCATACCTCCTAAAGATCTCGGCCAACATGAAGCAAGCGGTTGCCACAACGTGATCTTTGGCTGCGCACTGCTTGTTCTGCACAGACGGAGTCCCCGTCTCCGGCCCGTTCGACCAGAACAAGTAGTTCAGCAGCCTCTTCCCCTCCTCTCCAATAAACCTATCAGCCACGAACTCATCTGCCCTGTCAAACACCGTTGGATCCCTCATAACTATCGGCTGGTACCCGCACAAAAGCTCCCCTTTCTTCACTGGGTACCTCGCCCCTCTCGAACTCAGCTCAAAATCCTCTCTCGCGCGGCCGAATTGCAGCGGCACCGGCGGATTTAGCCGGAGCACCTCGTACACTGTTGACCACACCAGTTCCATCCCTTTCAATTCCTCAAAACCAACTACTCCCTTTTCGCTCTTGATATGGCTTCGCACTTCCTCTCTGAGTCTCTGCTTCAGCCCTGTTTTATCGCGGCCGATGGTGGTGATCAGAGCCGGGAGGAAGACGGTGAAGCCGCCGAATGCGTTGAAGCCTAACACGAAAAGGATGTTATGAATTGCCTCGTCTTTAGTAAGCCCGTACTCCTCGGCGATGGAAACGACCTCAGCGCCATGCTTGGCCACGAAATTGTAGAGTTTTTTGTAGTCGCCGGCGACGAGGAAGAAGGGGAAAGGGAAGGAGTGGAGGAAGATCTCAGCGAACGGCTGCGGCAGCGCTTGCGCGCTGACGGTTGGTAGGAGCTGTAAAGCCAGCCATTTGTCGAGCATAACAAAGCCGCCGTCACCGACCTCAGAGGAAACCGATGGCTCAACCCCAATGATGCTTTTGCAGAGGAAGGAAAAGATGCATTTTTGCAACGGGATGAAAAAGTTGGAGCTGGAATTCTGCCCTAGCTCGGATTCGATTGTCGAAAGCATTCTGCTGAGATTGGATTCAAAAGAGGAGAACCAGACGGCGGAGCTCCGGCGGAGAAGGTCAAGGCTGAATTTTTTCACAGCGGCATGGCCAGGCTCGGTCGTATCGAGATAGACGCCGACACGGATATCACCGGTGAAGCTGAGGGAGGGCATATAAGACCCTACGAGTACGTTTCGTTTGTCGACGAGGGCAGGGTCGAAGAGGGAGGAGAAAGAGTCGCAGTCGAGAACGGCGACTATGCGTGGATCGATGCCGAAAAAGAAGGGGAAGGTTGGGGGCATATTGGCCCGGAAGACGGGGCTTTTGTGAGCTTCCATGCGGCTGCGGAAGAATTTATCCTGGCCTTGGAACCAGAAGTAGTCGAGCCGATCCTTGAGGGGACCGAGGAGAGGGAAGCCATAGCTGCCGGGGATGGACCGGGTCGTGCCGGCTGCGGAGGAAGGTGGAGGTGGCGACGGGGAAGATATCATCGAAGAGCATATGGAAAGCATTTTCTCGGCTACTTGCTCCTCCTCTGCTGGTCCAGTGGGAGGGGATGTGATGATGGAGGCTCGTTTGTAATGGCAGAGCCGATCAAGTTGGATAAAATCGGGGCAGGTGTCGCGGTTTGATTAGTGATAAGCGTATGCTGATTGCTCGTCTTGGGAGCTCGTGTTGCACATGGGATGGTGCGATGTTGACCGCTGGTGTTGAGATTTTGTACTTTTATTGTAAATTACTGTCAGATATTTATGAACCTTTAAAAATTATTATGGTAGTAGGCCTTTAAAAGGTTAAATTTGGCTTATAGGTCTGGTAATATATTTATACAATATAATATGATTTTTTATAATTAACTTATTATTATTATAAAAATTTACATACATACAACTATATTACTATTATTTAACAAGTCCTGACTGGCTCTGCTAGGGTTTCTGTCGGCTGAAGCTCCTTCTTCGCCACCGCGCCTGGGAGGGCCCCCCCCTCCCACGATGGCCACATCCCATCTCGTTTTTCCTCCTCTACCCAACTCCTCCTTGCCTGGGCCCTCTCCTGGGGGTCTTTCGTATGCTGAAAATGTGTCGGCCTCCACGTACAAAGCACCTATTTTCCCGGTCTCCTTCTTCTCTCCCAGTTCAAAGCTTTCCTTCAAAGCAGATGATCTTACTGAAGGAAAGTCTATCTGGACAACGACTCTTATAGGCTATTCTCTTGGTCCTCGACCGTATTACGAGAGGCTTCTCAAAGCTATGCAGAAGATATGGAATCTTAAGGGTTCTATGACGCTCCTATCTCTTGCAGACGGCTTCTTCTTGCTGAAATTCTCCACTTCCGAAGATCTCGAAATGGTTCTCTCGGGTGGTCCGTGGTTCATCCTGGGAAAGCCTTTCATTTTGCAAAGATGGTCACCCAAATTCAAGCCAAAACGCGACGAGGATGCTCCGATTCCTATCTGGATCAAAATCGTGGACTTCCCCCTTGCGCTATGGACTCCTACTGGTATTTCTAAAATTTCAAGTTTTGTTGGAATTCCGATCTCTGTTGACAATCTTACTGCCAATCGCACTAGGCTGACTTTTGCAAGGGTATGTGTTCTCATAACTAAAGACTCTGTCCTTCCTGATGAAATACCGATTGAAATAGAGGGGGAAGATCTTGTTTTAAAAGTGTTATACGAATGGAAACCGGAAAAATGTGAAGGTTGTGGCTCTCTCATTCACCCTTTTTCACTCTGTCCCAAAAATCTAAATCCTCAGCCTTTCATTCCTCCTCAGCCTCCCAAATTCAGAGGCCGTAGTAGATCCAGACCCCATTCTTCGCGTCCACACAGACCCTCTTCCACCAAGCCTCCCCCCAAAGTTACTAATCTTCTTCCGCCCAAACCCATCATCAACTCAGATATCCCCAAAACCACCAATGCCCTTTTACCGGCTGCAATCGTCCTTGGCCAGTCTTCGAACATGCAGACTCACACTGAGCAGTTTAACTCAGTGCAAAACCAACAACCTTCACCTGGGAAAAATCCGGTTCTTCCCAACCTTAATTCTCCTACAGAAGATGCCTTTTCTTCTGGTAAACCTGTTTCTCCCACCCTTTTGCAACCTCCCATTGTTCCGCTATTAAACAAGTTTGCTTCACTGCAAACTGAAGACCAAAACATTGAGGACACCCAGGAGTTTACTTCTGAATCTGAATCTGCTTCTTGCTCTAACACAGCCAAAGAGCCCCCTACTACCACAATCCATGAGAAAGTTGTGCACAACACAAGATCTAATGTTGATAAAGGAAAATCACCAAACAAGTCAAAACCCTCTAAAGGGAAATCGGCCAAGAAGGCCAAACCTCAAATGCAGTAATGTCCTTGCCAACTTTTGCAAGTTGGAATGTTCGGGGTTTTAATCACCCGGATAAAGTAAGTCACTGTAAGTCCTTGATCAAATCTCATGATCTAAAGCTTCTAAGTATCTTGGAAGCAAAAATTTCAAACAATTCTATTGTTGACCCTTGGTTTTTGCGTTCTCATCGTCTTTTTGAGCACGAAGGAAGTTGCAATAATTTTAATGATTCTACGCCTGGTAGAATTTGGATCAAATGGGATAGCACTGTCCTCAATTTTCAACAACTACACACATCCTCGCAATTGATTCATGGTACTGTTTCGGTGGGATCTTTCCCACCTTTTTTTCTATCTGTTATATACGCAGATAATTCGGTTGAAGATAGGAAAAGTCTTTGGGAGCAATTGTTGATTTCCTCCCCTCCTCTGGATCAACCTTGGGTTGTTATGGGGGACTTTAATTGCTGTCGGTTTGAAACTGAAAAGGTGGGAGGCTCTATTATCTCTGCTAGCAGACTGGGTGAGCTTAATAATATGATCTTCAACTGTGGGTTGCAGGACCTTTCTTCCATGGGTCTATTTTATTCATGGTTCAATCAACAGGTGGAAAATCCGATTCACATAAAACTTGACAGAGTGCTGGTTAATAATGCCCTATTAGAATTTTTGCCCAATGCTTTTTACTCTGTTGAGCCTCCTCTGGGTTCGGATCATTCTCCGCTTATTTTCAAATCTTCACATGAAAAGCCACTCTCTTCAAGGTTCATGTTCAAAAACTTTTGGATTAATATGGATGGTTTTTGGGATGAGGTTCTTAATGCCTTTTCTTCTAGATCTTCTAGAAGTTCAATGGCCTCTTTTTGTCATAGTCTTCACATCCTCAAAAGAGCTATTAAGAATAGGAATTGGGCATCCTCTTCTTACATTTCTAATGCCTTGTTAGATGTCAAAAACAAACAGCATCTTTGCTTGATGGACATACAAGCTAATCCTTTAGATTTGGAAATTAACAGCAACCTGAAGAAAATCAATGATGAACTAGCTTCCTTACAATCTCATTGGACATCTTGGATCACTCAAAGGGCAAAAGCCTTATGGCTTTCACATGGGGAAGATGATCTTGGCTTTTTATTTGCAAAAATTAGAAGCAGGAATAATAGAAACAGCATTAAAGAGATAATCACTTCTGAGGGGCACTTTACTGATTTCAGAAGCATTTCAAGTGCTATTGTTAAACATTTTGATTGTCTGTTTAACACTTCTCTTCCTAAGCTTCTCTTACCTTTAAATATTCCTCCTGGCAAATTAGTTCCTACTAGCTTCATAGAAATGTTGGTTGCTCCTTTGTCTTTTGGGGAAGTTAAAGATGCGGTTTTTGATGGTAATGTGAATTCTGCACCTGGTCCGGATGGGTTTACCTATGCTTTTTATAGGAATTCTTGGCATCTCCTTGGCATGCAAATATATAATTCGGTTAACAATTTCTTTACTTTTGGCTCTCTTCCCAAAGGGGTAAAGGCTACGGCCATTGCATTAATTCCTAAATGCTCTCATGCTTCAAACATTAATGACTTTAGACCGATATCTCTGTGCAATGTGCTTTACAAAATTGTGGCTAAAATTCTTGCTAATAGGATGAAAATTGTTCTTCCATTTATTGTTCATGAGAGCCAATCTGGGTTTATCACTCATAGATGCTCCACGGATAACATCATCCTTGCTTCTGAAATTCTTAGAGACTTCAAGGGTTCTCATAAGAATTTTTGTGCTAAATTGGACATTAAGAAGGCTTTCGACTCCGTCTCTAGGGATTTTCTTATTGCTAGAATGCTTCAAAAAGGATTCCCTGATGTATTTGTTGCTTGGATTAAAGGTTGCATTACTGATGTTCATTTTTCTATATGCCTTAATGGTTCCCTTGAGGGTTTCTTCAAATCTTCAACTGGCCTTAGACAGGGATGTCCACTGTCTCCCTTGCTTTTTTGTATTGCGATGGATGGTCTTTCCAATATACTCATCAACAGTCACAACTCTTTCAAAGGTATAAAATGCAAGGACACTTTCATTAATCATTTGATGTATGCGGATGATCTCTTGGTTGTTGGGGAATCTACTAGAGAGAATGCTGTTAATCTCATAAGAGGCTTAAACTTATTTGGCTCTCTATCAGGTCTCTACATTAATGCTACTAAAAGTGCTATTATCTTCTCAAAATCCGACAATGATAATCATAATATCTGTGATATCCTGGGGATTCATCAAGTCAATCATTTCCTTACCTATTTGGGCATTCCGATCTCTCCAAAAAGACTTCTTGCTTCTAACTTCCAACCACTTCTGAGCAAAATATCTGCTCTACTTGCTGGTTGGAAAAATAAGTTTCTTTCTTTTGCAGGTAGGGTTCAATTCCTTAAATTCACCATCTCCAACACTCTTGCTTACTGAATTCGTGGGTCTATTATACCTAAAGGTTGTTGTGCGACTATTAATAAGCTTTGTGCTCGATTTTTATTTCACAACAACCTGGTGGATAGGAAGTTGCATCTTATATCGTGGTCCAATGTTACTATTCCTAAGGAGGCTGGTGGGCTGGGTATACCGTCTATTGATGCTTTATATTTTGGTGTTCTTTGTTCTATCATTGGCAGATTCTACAACTCTAATAACCTTTTAAGTTGCTGGTATAAAGATAAATATATTTCCCCTTGGAAACCTCCTCCATCCAATGCTTCCAAGTTCTGGCGCAGAATTTCGAACACTGCCAATAGGATTAAAGAGGTCATTTCTTTCTCTGTGTCTAAATTCAGTGATTTCAATTTTATTTGGGACCCTTGGCTTAATGGCAATACATTATCTGGGGCTTTTACTTTCAATGGACTGGATGACACTCTTGTAAGGGATTACATTGTCAATGGTAACTGGTGCTTACCAAATTTTATTCCAACGGCCATTTCGGACACCATTTTAGCTGTGAATATCTCAGAGAAAAACGAACTGCTTTGGAATAATTCTTCGAAGTGGGTTTTTAAAAACTTTTCTAAGTTTTATCACTCTTCTCTACCTAAAGTCATGTGGTATTCCTTTGTTTGGCACAAAAAGCATGCTATTAAATATTCCTGTTACACCTGGATGGCTGTCATTGGAAAGCTGAAAACTGCTGATAACTTGACTTTAAGAGGTATACAGGTGCACATGAATTGTTCACTGTGCTTTGGAAATTTGGATACACATTCTCACCTATTTTTTGAA